GTGAAAACCCTTTTCTACTAAAAATACAAAAATTAGCCGGGCATGATGGCAGGCGCCTATGATCCCAGCTACTCGGGAGGCTGAGGCAGGAGAATCACTTGAACCCGGGAGGCAGAGGTTGCAGTGAGCCGAGATTGTGCCATTGCACTCCAACCTGGGCAACAGAGCACAATTCCATCTCAAAAACAAACAAACAAAAAAAAGAAATCTGCTAATATTATTAAATATTATTAAAATACTTATGTCACTTTGGGGAATCTTCCCTTAGAAGTAAAAGCCCCAATACATAAAAGACAGATAAACATGTGAACATGGACGTTTATTGTAAAGTTGTTTCTAATGGCAAAATAAACACCCAAAACCAAAGCAAACACTAGAATCAAAGTAAATACCCATCAATTGGGAAATTAGAGAAAGGAAAGAACTATAGTATATCCATTCCATAGAATGTTAATATAGCCACAAATTAAAACTATGCTAGTGGACTTGAGTGGAATTCCACAATGTTCTCCTGAGTGAAAAATGCAAGGTAGATATTAAGTGTGTTAAATATGACTCCATTTTTGTAAATCATTAACAAAATGTCTCTAGGTGTTTATCACAATAAGCGGTATCTGTATATGTTTATTTGATTTTATGTGCATGAAGAAAAGTGTAGAAGAGTATGCATTGACTTGGAGGGAGGTAGGTAATGCAGGTAGGATATGGGGGAGACAGGGGTGTAGGGAAAAGGGAAACCAAAAAAGAAAAATTTTTTGTGATACCACAAATGTGTGAGTTAGTAAATTTGGCTGGGGATGGGGGAGCTAGAATTTTGCTAATTTGTGGGGATGTTCATGGTATATATTGTTAAGTGAAAAGGGAAAATTTCATAATAATGTATACAATTCTATTTTTTTAAAAAGTGAAAACTCCTGTGTGTGTATATATGCATGTGGATGTTTATATGAACATAGAAACATGTAGAAAAATACACACGAAGGTGTTAACATTCATTGGTTACCTTGGTGGAGAAGGGTAATAAGTTGTCTAAATACCTTTGCATTGTCTTGTTCACATATATTGCTTTTGTAATTTGAAAAACATAAAATAAAGGGGGAAAACATTTCAAACCAAATGAAGCCTTGAAAATGTTTCCATTTTCTGACAAGATGGCACCCTGGCTTGGTCTAAGGTTGAGTTAGGGCTATGGAAATGAAGTCTTGTCACCTTTGCTGCATTCTATTAGAAACAAGTCATAGGTCCCAGCCATACTCAAAGAGAAGGAATTACACATGAGAGTAATTTCCCTCTCCAGACAACCAGGCAGCAGAGATCATTGGGGGCCATCTTGGAGTCCACCCACCTCATCAGGGAAACACTTATTTGAAAGTAGGGAGGAGGCCGGGCGTGGTGGCTCAAGCCTGTAATCCCAGCACTTCGGGAGGCCGAGACGGGCGGATCACGAGTCAGGAGATCGAGACCATCCTGGCTAACACGGTGAAACCCCGTCTCTACTAAAAAAATACAAAAAACTAGCCGGGCGAGGTGGCGGGTGCCTGTAGTCCCAGCTACTCGGGAGGCTGAGGCGGGAGAATGGTGTAAACCCGGGAGGCGGAGCTTGCAGTGAGCTGAGATCCGGCTACTGCACTCCAGCCTGGGCCACAGAGGGAGACTCCGTCTCAAAAAAAAAAAAAAAAGGTAGGGAGGAGTGAGGATGGCAACTGTGTTGGAATAGTAATTTAAGTAAGCCACATACTTGCTGCTGGGCACCATGAGTGCACAGATTCTAGATGTGCTTGCTGGAAGTTCTCCACTAAACAGAATACACTGCGTGCTAACTATGAACTGGACACCGTTCTAGGATCTGGGGATAAAGCGGTAAACAGAAAGAGAAATGTTGATAATTGTCAGGAAGCAAAATGAAATAGGAGGGGAGTTAAATTTTATATGCAGTAACCAGGAAAGCCCTCAAAATGATCTCTGCATAAAGACCTAACGGAAATGAGAGATGTAATAATGCAACTGTCTAGAAAATTGTATTCTAGGCAGAGGGAACAGGAAATGCAAAAATGCAAACATCCTAAGGGAATGTGTCTGGAGTGTTGGAGACCAGAAAGGAAGGTGTATTCTTGTTGAATAACAAATTGTCCCCCAAACTTAGTGACCTAAAACAACAATAAACGTCTCACATGCTGTCTGTGGGTCAGGAATTTTGAAAGTGCCATTGGATTCACACTCCCTTTAGCTGTGGCTTCTTCCCTGTCTGTCACTCTGCCCTTCCCAAGTCTTTGTCCAAGCTATCTCTCTTTTCAGACCAGTACACAGCAGGGCCAGTGCCATTCATGCTTATGGGAAGGAAGGAATCCCCTCTGCCATGGCCTTTCTGGGTTCCTCCACCCAGCAGTGGAATCTAAGCCATTCAGCACCTTCTCCAAAATAGTGGTGCCCAGTATACCCTACCATTCACCAGTGAGAGCAGGTTGCAGACCACTACTGTCTTTCTTTTCTTTTTTTGAGACAGAGTCTCACTCACTTCAGCCCAGGCTGGAGTGCAGTGGCACGATCTCAGCTCACTGCAACCTACAACTCCTGGGTTTCAGTGATTCTCCTGCCCCGGCCTCCCAAAGTGCTGGGATTACAGGCATGAGCCACCACACCCAGCTAATTTTTGTATTCTTAGTAGAGACAGGGTTTCACCATGTTGGTCAGGCTGGTCTCGAACTCCTGACCTCAAGCAATTCACCCGCCTCGGCCTCCCAAAGTACTGGAATTACAGGCGTGAGCCACCGTGCCCGGCCTAATGTCTTTCTTAGAACTAGCACTGTATGGATGGAGAGGAGATGCCGACAGCAATTTCCTGCAGAAGTGACAGCCTCAGAGTGGGGTTCCCACAGAAAGGATGGTAGCAGGTCAGTGTAAACTGTGTAATCCCTATCTAGAACAACCAAAACCTCGGGGTCAGAAAAAGATAGTTTGTGGGTACTGTAGGACACATCTTTGAAAATTGTCATCCCCAGGGAGAAACAGCTAAATGGGTGCAGCTACCTGGTTTCACGCATAGATGCAATTAATTACTCAGCATCTCATATTCTAATGGGGCGCCCTGGGCATTTGGCTACACAGCAGAAAGCCACATTTAAGCGTGTGTGGCAGCCTTGAGGCAGGGTGGAGAGGGTTTGTAGCAGCGGCCCTGCAGCCACAGAAGGAGAGATGTCCTTTGAGGAAACCATGGCAATGTGTGGTCTTGTGGAGAGATGGGGTTTAGAAATTGGATGCAATTGACTGAAAACGGGAAGTGGGTGGCAGGAATCAGGTTTAGGAGTTGGGGGAGGAGAATCAGTTCTGGGATGTAGTGATAAAGAGGTCCAATGAATGACTGGATGCAGATACTTGGTTTTCGATGATTCAGGAGTCCAGAGAACGCTATGATTGGTATGGGTGTCCCAGCGGGTCAGGTATCCGAGGTCTTGGAATTTGGGAGAGTGGTAGTCTCTGGGACATGGGATGTGGGGAGTCTAAGGAGTCAATAAGGGATCTAAAGTGTTGGTGATAGGTGACTTTTTTAATAGTAAAATACACAAATATAAAATTTACCATTTAAACCACTTTAAAGTGTAATTCAGTGACATTTAGTACATTTACAATGCTGTGCAAGCATCACTACAATCTAGTTCCAGAAAATTTTCATCACCCCAAAAAGAAACCATGTATCCATTAAGCAGTCACTTCCCATTCTTCCCACCCCTTCCCCAAACTCCTGGCATCCACTAATCTGCTTACTGTCTCTAGTCTTTAATGATTTACCTATTCTGGATATTTCCTATAAACAGAATTACACAGTATATAGCATATTAACATAATGTCCTCAAAGTTCCTTCATGTTGTAGCATGCCTCAGTACTTCATTCCTTTTTATGGCTGAATAATATCCCATTGCATGGGTAATACCATCAGCTGGTGGACATTTGAGTTGTTGCCACCTTTTGGGTATTGTGAAATGTACTGCTATGAACATTCTTGTACAAGTTTATGTTTAAACACCTTATTCAGTTATTTTGGGTGTATACCTAGAAGTGAAATTGCTGGGTTATATGGTAATTCTATGATTAACTTATTAAGAAATAACCAAACTGTTTTTTTTTTGTTTTGTTTTTTTACAGTGGCTGTACCTTTTTATATTCCAATCAGCAATACACAAGGGTTCCAGTTTCTTCACCACCTCGCCATCCATCATTTGTTATAATCATATGCCACATAATGATGTTTTGGTCAGTGAGGGACCACATGTACAGTAGTGGTCCCATAAGATTATAGCAGAGCTGAAAATTTTCTTTTTATAAAATTGTATTTTTTTTTTTCTTCCAACTCTTACGGAGCTGAAAAATTTCTACTGCCTAATGACATTTTGGTGATCCTGGCACTGCGTGTACCTATGCTAATGTGTTTGTGTTTTCGTTTTTAACAAAAAAGTTTTTAAGAAATAGAAAATTTCTGGAGGCTGAGGAAAGAGAATTGCTTGAACCCGGGAAGCGGAGGTTGCAGTGAGTTGAGATCACACCACTGCACTCCAGCCTGGGCGAGAGAGCAAGACTCTGTCTCAAAATAAAATAAAATAAAAATTTTTAAAAATTAAAAAAAATTTTTTAAGTAGAGGATTATAGAATAATGATATAAAGAAAATATTTGTGGGCCGGGCGCGGTGGCTCAAGCCTGTAATCCCAGCACTTTGGGAGGCCGAGACGGGTGGATCACGAGGTCAGGAGATCGAGACCATCCTGGCTAACACGGTGAAACCCCGTCTCTACTAAAAACACACACAAAAAAAAAACTAGCCGGGCGAGGTGGCGGGCGCCTGTAGTCCTCGCTACTCGGGAGGCTGAGGCAGGAGAATGGCGTAAACCCGGGAGGCAGAGCTTGCAGTGAGCTGAGATCTGGCCACTGCACTCCAGCCCGGGCGACAGAGCAAGACTCTGTCTCAAAAAAAAAAAAAAAAAAAAAGAAAATATTTGTGTACAGCTATACAATGTGTTTGTCTGAAGGTAATTTCTTACAAGAGAGTCAAAACATTTTTAAAAATTAAAAAAGTTTATAAAGTAAAGAAGTTATAGTAAGCTAAGGTTAATTTATTACCAAAGAAAAAATTCAAATAAATTTAGTGTAGCTAAGCATACAGTACATATAAAGTAGTATACAGTACTGTCCTAGCCTTCACATTCACTTGCTGACTCACCCGGAATAGCTTCCAGTCTTGCAAGCTCCATTCATGGTAAGTGCCGTATGCAGGTATACCATTTCTTATCTTTTATACCATATTTTTACTGTACCCTTTCTATGTTTAGACGTGTTTAGATACATGAATACCATTGAGTAGAATCACCTACGGTATCCAGGCAATTTGGATTTGTAGCCTGGAAGTGATAGGATGTACCATATAGCGTAGGTGTGTGCCAGGCTATACATCATCTAGGTTTGCGTATGTACACTCGCTAATGTTCACATAATGATGAAGTCACGTAACCATGCATTACTCAGAAAGTATCCACATCATTACACAATGCATGACCATGTTTCCATTCTGCTTTTAAAAAATCTTAAATTAGGCTGGATGTGGTGGTTCATACCTGCAATCCCAACACTTTGAGACACCAAGGCAGGCAGATCACTTGAGCCCAGGGGTTTGAGACCAACCTGGGCAACATTGCAAAACCCCATCCCAACAAAAAAATACAAAAAAATTACCTGGATGTGGTGAGGTACACCTGTGGTCCCAACTACTGGAGAGTCTGAGGCAGGAAGATTATCTGGGCCTGGAGAGGTGGAGGCTGCAGTGAGCCACAGCACTCCAGCCTGTGTGACAGAATGGGACCCTGTCTCGAAAAAGAGTCTTAAATTTATGTATCTTAAGAATATACATTAATATAGACTAAAGAGTTTAAGTATCAAATAAAGAAGGTTTTTTTTTTCAGTTGAAACAATGTATCAGAGGATAAAAAAAACCCATAAAATATTTGTTTAAAAGTAAAGGATTTGTTTAATCTGCCCTATTAATTGAAATTTTCACAGTTAACTAGTACTATTTTTTATTTAAATAATAGTATGTATGTAACAGAAAATTAAAGATGTGAAGTGTTGATGCTGTTTTTCAGCAGCAGAAACTGGAAAACATGCAGCCTCATGACTGTCACACTCTTTCGCCAGATCATTGCGTTGTTTGCCCAGGCACCCCTCATCCCATCTCTCTCCATCCCTTTTCTTACCTTTTCATTTCCCTTGTCTTTTCATCAGAGCATTTACCAATGTCTGAATGTAGAATGTTGTTGTTGATTGACTCTCTCTTCAACTAGAACGTAAGCTATGAGCGGCCCAGCCTTTGTCCCACACACTGCAGTGTGCCCCACTTCTAGGAAAGTGTCCGGCACACAGTAGGAACTCAGTCCGCATTTCTTGAATGAATTAAGTGATGTATACAGGCCACATTCTGAGCTGCTGGAGAAGCCAGTAGTTGATTACCAAACTCTAGTCCTTTATCTTGGTGTCCTAATGTCCTGACTGATACACTCAGTTTGTAGGCAAATAGCTGGTGGGGTTTAGTAGTATGGGGTAGAATAAAGGGAGATGTAGTTGGAACCCTCTATCCACGTTATCTGCCCCATGAAAAGCTAGTTCCAGGCGTTGCCATCTCTACCCCACACGGGGCTTGCGTTAGTCCTCATTCCCGCCTTTTCCAGACCGCAGTGCTGAGAAGCAGGAGCCCCTGAGCTGGAGACGCAGGAATCCTGAGCCCTGGGAGGCCCAGATCGAAGGGAGGCAGTCAGCTCATGGAGCCGGGGAATGTTCTGCTGGAACCCCCCCCCCGCACGAGGGTATCCGGTATGTTTCTGGGCACCAGCGACCCCTCCACACCTCACCAAACTGGATCCCCAGCCCCGCGGGACCCGATTCCGGCCTACACCCTCCAATCCGGAACCAAATCAGAAGAGCAGTCCCGAGTGCCCGCCTCACGGTCTGAAGCACCTGGTCCTACACCTGGACCCGAACACGAGGTCGGCTCAAGGAAGCACTGAGGTCAGGACAGTCAGGCAGTCAGGATCCTGCGCCGCTTGTCGCATGCAGTCTCCTTCCCCGAACCGCCGCCTGCACGGCCTCCACTGTCTTCCTATTGGGCTGCAGCCTGAGAGGCCTGACAATCGCGGCCCCCAAAGCTGGAACGCGAAAGCGCATGCGCCAGGCGCGATCTCCAGGCGCTAGCGCTGAGGCGGGGGCCGGGGGGAGCTCACGTCACAGTGACCGCCGCCGTTGCCGGGGGACTGGCCCCAGCGGCTTGGCGGGGCAGGAGCCGTCTGTGGCAGTGCGTCCGCTCTCCGCCGGATAGTCGCCATGGTCCCCGCGATCCTAGTAGTCGGGCAGGGCCGAACCTGGCTGAAGAAACCTCAAGCGGAGATTCAAGGAAGCACCACGTGATCCCTAAGGATCCCCAGGATGCGTCGGGCATGCCTAGATGGTGTGGGGGTGTGTCTCCTTGACAGCTGTCCCGCGGGGATTTCGAGGTACGGCCTGTGTTTCCCAGGGCTGTTCTCTTCCCGGAAGGGCTTCCTGGCAGGGAGCAGAACCCCGCAGCCTCAGGAGCTGCTTGGCTGTGTGTGTTTCTGCGCGAGTGTTGGATGTCTCTGTGTGTGTCTGTGTGTGTGTGCGTGTGAGTGTGTGTGGTGTCGCGTTAAAGGAATGTGGCTCGAGCAGTGGAGCGCGGTTTCTCTGTAGTGCGCCTACTCTCTGATGCGCCCCTCTCTTTGGCCGGGCTTGGGTTGCGGGGCCAAGCGTTCTTTGTTTTGCTCTTGGTTCCTAAAGCCTCGGTGAAGTGCGGGGGCTGGCTGAGACCCGCAGGCGTCCAAATCACCTCCCCATCCCAAGGGGGCCACTCTTCCAGAAAGAAGACGGGCACACCACACCCAAGAACAAATTCCTCCGGGGGTCCATGGTCCTGTGGTGCACCCAGGGCTGAACGGACCCTAGCCGTCCTGTCCTCAGGACCCCCCTTGAACCCGCTTCTAATTCGGTGACTGGCGGAACCGAAGCTTCAGGACGTGAGGCGGGCACTCCTTCATCCTCTTCGGATTTCATTCTGGATTAAAGCATGTGTGCAGAAAAAAGGTCAGATGGGGGTGAGGATACAATCCGCTGAGCTGTGGAGGGGGTCTGGCACCTTCACCCGCAGAACAGGTGCAGAAAGATGTTAAAGAAACTGCTTCCAACACCATCCCCTTTTCCTCTTCAGTGTACAACCTTGTCCACGCTATGGCGCTGTGCTGGCGACAGAAGACACGAACTTTCAGAGGTCCTTTAGACCGCAAACTGTGGCCTTTCTTGCCAGGTCCCCTGTTGGACCCTGGTTCCCCGAGCCACAAGGGAGTGGGATGGATTGATCCTGCCTGGGCTGCGGCCTCTACTGTGTCCTCCCTCTTTTCTTGCTTTCCCTGATTCTCGTGGGCCCAGGTTTTCCTTGGTCTGGCTCACAGTCCTCCAGAACGTCCTCCACAGCAAACGTTTCCCAGTTCGTCCAGGACCGCCTTGGCGGGGATGTACGTGATGAGTGTTTCTTTCTCAACACTCGCATTTCTTAATGACTGGATAGCTGTGATGCTCCTGGAACCGTGGGTGCCCGTAGCTTCTGCCAACAAGGAAACTCTTGGTCTCCCTGTTGCATCAGTTGGCTGCATGATTCACATAGAATGAGAGGTAGCCAGCCGTAGCTGGTCTTTGCCTTCTAATCAAGGCTATGTTTCATTTCATCTGCTGGTGTTTTTTCATTGTTGAGGGGTCTTCCATTGCTCTGTTCCTGGCTGGGACTGCCTCTCAGCACTGCACCTTTTGGTTGCCACGGATTTCACAGAGCAAAAGGGACTGGGGGTTTGCTGGGTGCAGGCCCGGTGGTGGGTTGTGATCCCGGTGTGGGAGTTGGGGTGGTTTGCAGTTTGCAGGATCCTCTTGGCTCCTCTGGCAGGAATCCCTGGACGAGGCTTGGACTCTGGCATAGGCCCTCCTGTGGTTCCAGGTGTGCTTTGTTTGTGCTTCACTTTCTTGGGCGATCCTCAGTGGTCCTCGGCTGCATGCCTGGACATCCCTTTCAGGCTTGGATTCACCCCAGAAGGCCTCTGAGACACTCTCTCCACCTTATCTGCCCCCATGGGATGCCAGTTTCAGGTGTTGCCACCCCTGCTCCACATTGGGCTTGCCTTTGTTCTTGTTTCCGCCTTTTCTCCACAGCAGTGCTGAGAAGCAGGAGGCCCTGGGCTTGGAGACCAGGACAGGGCCCTGAGAGGCCCAGGTCGAAGGGGGGCAGTCAGCTCATGGGGTGGGGGAATGTCCTGTTTACACCCTCCACTGGGGTCTCAGATATGTTTTGCTGCCCCAGTGACCCCTCCACTCCTCACTAGATTGGATCCCCAGCCCCATGGGACCCGATTCCTGCCCACACCGTCCAATCCGGAATCAAATCAGAGAGCAGTCCCGAGTGCCCACCTCACGGTCTGTAGTGCCTCCTCCTCCACCCAGACCCGAACACAAAGTGGACTCAAGTAGGCACTGAGGTCAGGATTGTCGGGGTCCTGCGCTGCTGGTCTCACTCAGACTCCTTCCTCCGGCCGCCGCCTGCACGGCCTCCACCATTTTCCTATAGGGCTGCAGCCAGAGAGCCCTGACGTTGCTGCAGCGCCAGCCGGGCACGCGAATGTGCATGCGCCGTGGGCGCGTCACCAGGCGCGATCGCCGAGCCGGTGCTTGCGTCACAGTGACCGCCACCGTTGCCTGGGGACGGGTCGCAGCAGCTTGGCGGAGCAGGACCCCTCCGTGGCAGTACGTTGGCGCTGGACTGTGGCCCCTCCTCTCCGGGGGATCGTCGCCTTGGTCCACCGGCCCTAGGAGTCCGGCAGAGCCAAACCAGGCTAAAGAAACCTCCAGCAGAGCTTCAAGGATGCACCGCGTGATCCCTGTCGGATCTCCCCGATGCATCAGGCCTGCCCAGACAGTGTTGGGGGCGCGTCTCCTTGAATGCTGTCCCGCCTGGGATTTAAAGGTATCGCCTGCCTGTGTGTCCCGGGGCTGCTCTCTCCTGGGAGGAGCTGCCTGGCTGTGTGTTTCTGCGCGAGTGCTGCATGTCTCTGTGTGTGTTTTTCTGTGTGAATGTGTGTGGTGTCTGGTGAAAGGAATGTGTCTCGTGCAGTGGAGCGCGGTTTCTCTGTAGTCCGCCTACTTTCTTACGCGCCCTCTTGTAGGTTCCAGGTGTGCTTTCCTTGTTTTTCGCTTTCTTGGGGGTCATTGATTTCAGCTGTAAGCTTAATTCCTTTTTTGAGTCTCACCTGTTTTGTCTAAGGGGGAACTTAAATCATTGATGTGTATTTAAAAGCATACGTTTCCCTCAAAGTGCTGCTTTAGTTGCATTCCACAAAATTTTATATGCTGTTTTTATTTTTAGCTGCAAGTATGTATAATTTTTTACTTGTACCATAGTTTACTTAAATGTGTGTTGCTTAATTTGCAAACATTTTTGAATTTTGACATTAATTTCTGGCTTAATTCTACTGTGGTTAGAAAGCAGATTTTCTGATTTCAATCCTTTTCAATATATTGACAATTTATGGCTCACAATATAAACGAGCTTGCTAAATGTTCTTTGTATAAGTGAAAACACTGCTTTCTGCTGCTCTTAGGTGGACTGTCTATAAATATCAGTTACAACAAGCTGGTTATTAGCACCGTTCAAGTATCTTATATATTTACAGATTTTCTCAATGAGAGAATAGTATTAAAATCTCAAAATATATAATTTTGAGTTTGTCCATTTATTTTTATTTCTAGCAGTTTTTAATTTATTGTTTAGTTCTGGTACTAGGCACAAATACTTGTATGATTGCTTTGTCTTCTTGGTCAATACGCTTCTATAGTATTGTAAAATATGCCTTTTTTAGAAGAAAATCCCTGGTAATATTCCTTGTTTCAAAGACAATTTGTTGTGAGGGCTGGGTGCGATGGGTCACACCTGTAATCCTAGCACTTTGGGAAGCTGAGTTGGTCGGATCACTTGGCGTCAGGAGTTTGAGATGAGTCTGGCCAATATGGTGAAACTCGATCTTTACCAAAAATACAAAATTAACCGGGTATGGTGGCGTGCATCGTCTGTAGTCCTAGGACAATCGCTTGAACTCGACAAGTGGAGGTTGCAGTGAGCCGAGATGGCGCCACTGCACTCCAGCCTGGGCGACAGGGTGAGACTCTGTCTGGAAAAAAACAAAAGGCAATTTGTTTTATATTCACATAGCCATTTTGGTATAATTAGTGTTTGCATGGTTGTTTTTGTTTTTTTTTTTAACTTTTAACCTATTTGAGTTGGTATATACTTTTGACTTTTTAACCTGAGTCTTCATATTTTAATCTTTTTTTACATAACCTAACATCTTTTTTTTTTGAGACAGAGTCTTGCCCTTGTCACCCAGGCTAGAGTGGAGTGGCAGGATCTCAGCTCACTGCAGCCTCTGCTTCCTGGGTTCAAGAGATTATCCTGCCTCAGCCTCCCGAGTAGCTGGGATTACAGGCACCCGCCACCACGCCTGGCTAATTTTTGTATTTTTAGTAGAGATGGGGTTTCACCATGTTGGCCAGGCTGGTCTCAAACCCCTGACTTCAGGTGATCTGCCCACCTTGGCCTCCCAAAGTGCTGATGAGATTACACGCATGAGCCACTGCGCCCGGCTTTCTTCTGTGTTTTTTACTGAAGTATTTAGACCATTACCATTGTTTGCAATTACTGATATATTTGGGTTTGTAACAATCAACTTGCTCTTTATTCTGTTTATCTATCCTTCATTCTTTTTCTAATTTTCTGCCTATTTTCGTAGTTTTAAAAATTATATTCTATTTTACTTCTACTGGCTTATTGATTACAGCACTTTTTAGAATTTTGCATGCTTTTTTTATAGAGCCTTTCAACATTCATTTTTAACTTTCAATGTCTAGTTTTATGTATTATACCCTATCGTATATTTTGTTGGGGTCTTACACAAATAATACTTCCATTCCACCTTCTCACCTTTTGAGCCGTTTTCATATTTTAATTGCCACAAATATTACCATCCCTATAATACATTATTGCTTTTGCATTAAAAACTCAATTACTTTTTCAAGAGAATATGAGGAAAACAATATTTACCCATATTTAACTTTTCTGTTAATTTCCATTCCTATGTATGAATCCATGTTTCCATCTGCATCTGTTGGTGATGAATTCTCTCACCGTTCATTTCTTTTTTCATTTGAAACTATTATTTTAGGCTCGGGGAGTACACATATAGGTTTGTTACATTGGCAAAATGCATATCCCTGGGGTTTGGTGTACAAACGATTTTGCCACCCAGGTAGTGAGCATAGTAGCTGACAGTTTTTTGACCCTCACATTCCTGCCGCCCTCCACTCTCAAGCAGGCCCTGGTGTTTATTGTTCCAATCTTTGTGTCCATGTGTACTCAGTGTTTAGCTTCTACTTATAAGTGAGAACACACAGTATTTGGGTTTCTGATACTGCATAAATTCACTTAATGGCCACCAGCTGTGCCCATGTTGCTGCAAATAACACAATTTCTTTTTTCCCTGAGGCTTTAGCTTTCATTTGTTTACAAAAGTTTTCACTTTTTTCGTATTATTACCCAGTGCAGAAATACCAGACAGTTTCCCCTCTATTCCTTTCTCTGCTAGCTTGCATAGATTCTAACAAGAAGTTTATGAATCTTGTTACTTTTGTCTCCATGTATGTATCTTTTTTCCATCAGGCTGTTCTCAAGATTTTCCTTTACCACTAGTTTTCAGCAATTTGTGTTGTGTTTAGCCTTGAATTCCTTGAGCTTCTTAGATCTATGGGTGATAGGTTCCAAGAAATTTGGAGTATTTTCAACCATTGTTTTTTCATATTTTTTCTGCCTTCTCCCCACTTCTGAGACTCACATTTACATATATCTTAAACTGCTTTATATTTTCCCACAGATCACTGAGACTCTCTTACAGTGTTTTTCCCTCTGTGCTTCATTTTTCCTGGTATGTTCTCAAATTCACTGATTTTTTTCTCCCAAAAATTGGTGTTTAATCTCCAATAAATTTTCTCTTCAGATATTTTTCTTTTCCAGAAGTCCCACTTTGTTCTTTTATCTTCCATTTCTCTCACTGTGTACATGCTTAAAAAAAAAAAAAAACCCTTCAGGATGCTGCAGTTGCTTTAATATTGTTATGCTAATACCATCTCCCCTGCCACTTGCATCTGGGCTGACATTTTTTCCTATTTGGGTCACATTTTCCTGCTTCTTTATATAGACACGGGGCATTGTAAAATTTAGTTAAGTGGTAGATATTGTTACACTTTTCTAACAATGTTGAACTTCATCTGTAGGCAAATACTTGTGAAGTGGCTTGATCCTTCTGAATTCTTTAAAAAGCAGTTTACAGAAGAGCTGAAGTCTTTACTTCAGAGATAGTTTAGCTCTGCTCCTAATGTGTGACCTTTCTGGGATTTCCACTGAATAGTGTGGGTGATCACTGGTCAGAATTAGAACCTTTCTTGGCCACATGTGAACTGTGGGCAGTTTCCAACTTGCAGCTCCCTGACTGCACTTAGTGCCCAGTCAGGTGGAGGAACTGCACTCTACACATGTACTATTTAATATTTTCAAAAGACGCCAGAAAAACCCTGTGCACATTTCTGAAAATCTTTTCTGTTTATCTCCTTCCTCTGCAGAACTCTTCCCTGTACCAGCTAGCATAGTCTCTGTTATCTTCTCAACACAGTAAGAATTTCACGTTGTTTGGGATCAGCTTTCTCATTATCCAGAATGTGTCTCCAAGTAG